TATATCCCTGTCCCTGCCCTCCCTTAGCCCCCAAACACCATTCCACCTCCCCGCACCCTAGCCTTGTCCTCTTCCCAATTTCCTGACCCTGCTCTCCATGCCCCCTTCCCTAGTTTAAGTGAATAGAAAAGTTAATCGCACAATCGGTTTCTCCACCACACAAGCAATTCTAAGGGGGGCTAGGAGTCTCAGCAGGCTGGCAGACCCCTTTGCAGCAATCACCCTACAAACAATCCCTCCGTGGGGGCTAGACTTGAAATATGTTTTTCTTTAAAACAAGCATCCCCACCCCACCCACCTCCATTAATAACTCTCAGAAGAGCCCAGGGTTGCCTAAACTGCAGTGGTATTGGAGCCACAACCTCAACTCCTTGCTAAGAATACTTCTCCCCCCTTGATGTCTCTCCCATCACATTTCTCGTAGCAAGAACACAACTCAAAAGTCTCCCCAAACTTTCCAGCCTCCTGCGCATCTATCAAGCACCGCTTACAATGCAGAGCGCGGTTCATCCCTGCTCCCCGCCTAGGAAACAGCAGAGAAATCATTCAGTGTTTTATTTCCCCCCAAAGTCACGTTTTTCATCTGAAGAATTGATTTACAATATCTTTTCCCTTTCCTAATAAACAGCTCCCAGAGATTATGTGACGCGCAGAAGGCGGCGGCTGCTTAAAAAGCAAAAAGGCATAGCCCTAATGAGTTCAATTAGATGCGGTAAACACATTGCCACTACTCCTTAATGAAGCCTGCTGTCCAATTTTAACTCAGTAAGTCATTAAGAGAAGAGCTTTTAGCTGGCTGAAAGGAAGAGCACCACGCAGCCTGTGCAGTTACACTAGGGTGACCAGATGTCCCGATTTTATAGGGACAGTCCCGATTTTTGGGTCTTTTTCTTAGATAGGCGCCTATTATCCCCCCACCCCCGTCCCAATTTTTCACACTTGCTGTCTGGTCACCCTAAGTTACACATATACCCAAAGGTGTTCTGGTAACATTGCCGTTTGGTGAGTTAATAGGAGGTGAAAAGAAATATTTTTTGCTATGCGATTGTTCCCGTAATTAGAGAACATTTACCCATGGAAACTAACTCCAGTGCAGAATTTGACTGGCGCCACTCCTTGACTACCCTTGGCCATCAAATGAGACATTTATACCTTTGTCCAAAATCAGGATTCACCTGTCGTTGCTTCAAAAGCTTAGCCCCTCTTCACAGAATATCAGAGTTGGATGGGACCTCAGAAGGTCATCTAGTCCAACCCCCCTGCTCAAAACAGGACCCATCCCCAGACAGATTTTTACCCCAGTTTCCTAAAGGGCTCCCTCAAGGATTGAACTCCCAACTCTGGGTTTAGCAGGCTAATGCACAAACTCCTGAGCTATCTCTCCCTTCCCATGGGAGGGTAATAATCTCAGCACAGCAGGGTGTCTTCGACATCAAGGGGAACCGGGGGCTGTTTGGTGGGGCAGGATCAGGCCCACCGTTTGCAACGCGAACATTGCTGGTGCGGGAGATCCTGGAAGTGAAATTGTCCAGAAAGGGCTTATACATAAAAAGAATTCCTACATTCCTTGGGTGCTTTGGGAAATCTTCCCCAAATTATGAAGTAGGAAGCAAAGGTGTGCGGGGTAACCCCTTCCTAAAACAAGTGTTTAGGTGTATAATAAAACACACCCCCTCTGCAACGCATTTAGTTGTACCTTTCAGGAATAGATCTTCCTCCAGAAAAAAAACCCAGAGTTTAGATTGTTCAGAGCCCTTAATGAATTTAATCTAAAAATCTAGATATATTTAGGTATAGATAAATGCAGATGTGGATGTTAGTTATGGATAGCTATAGAGAGATAGATCTGGATACATTTAGATTATCTTTGTTCCTGCTTGCTTGTTCTTTGTATGGTTTATTTCATTGTAATTGTGCCTGGGTAAATCTGTAGCTCATTTGGATAGAAATACATTTGTTTCCTGTTGTTAGAACAGACTCTAATTTGAAGTGATTGGATCACAGAAATGTACAATTGCAACCTCATTTTTTATCCTGGGGGACCTAAATATATCATCTGTTCATTGTGCCTTAATCAATGATAGCTTTGCAGCCAAAGAGTAATATGCTGATATCTTGTTAAAAAATGAAGAAGGCATTTACTGACAGACAGGATTAGTTCCATTTAAAACGTATCTGGAACAAGAAATGGGGAAAACTAACCCTGTGCAACGTTTGGTCTTGTGCAGGAAGACATGAATCTGCTTAATACAGGACCCGATCCTACATTCCAGAGTCTTCTTGAGTTGAATGGGAGTTTGGGGAATGGATGGAGGATCGCCTGGGGGGTTTCTATAAAGGAGATTAATGTCAGGGTTTTCACAAGCTGATCTAAACTGCCTACTTCATTACCTCCTCACAGGAGGTTGCTGCAATAACTATACTTCTGAAAGTTCATATATAGATATTTGCAGTATATATGTGTGTGTGTGCATGTGCAACACATGCTGAGCAACCTTTGAACTGGATACAAACTAAAATGGCACATCGCCTCCATATCACCTCCAAGATGTTGCTTTCTCTAATGACTGCTGTCTCTATGTGCTCTGTTTCAAACGGATTCGAGCAATCAGCCAGTATGGAAGAAGATAGGAAGTTTAGCCACTGGTTGGTAAATTTCATGCATGCTGAAAGTTTAGGGTTGCCATACATCCTCTTTTTCCCGGACATGTCCAGCTTTTCGGCAGTCAAACCCCTGTCTGCGGGGAATTGCCAAAAAGCCGAACATGTCCGGGAAAATGGCGGCTCTGCTCCTCCCCGACTCTTTGGCTCTGTTTAAGAGCCGGGCTGCCCGAGCGCTACTGGCTTCGGGCAGCCCCCGTGCCTCCGGACCCTGTGCCGCCGGAGCCCGGGAGGGGAAGTGCCCGGCTGGGGGCGCAGGGTCCGGAGGCATAGGGGCTGCCCAAAGCCTGAGCGCTACCGGCTTCACGGTTTGCCGGGCAGCCTCCAGACCCTGCGCCCCAGGCTGGGCGCTTCCCCTCCCGGGCTCCAGCTGCTCTGGGGAAGCGCCGGCTGCGGGTGCAGGGTCTGGGGGTTGCCCGGCAAACCCTGAAGCCGGTAGCGCTGGGGCAGCCCTTCCCCCCTGGCTGGGAGTGGGAGGGAGGAGGGGGCGGAGTTAGGGTGGGGAAGGGGCGGAGTTGGGGCGGGGCTAGGGGTGGGGAAATGGGCGGGGCCAGGGCCCGTGGAGGGTCCTCTTTTTTTATTTATGAGATATGGTAACCCTAGAATAGAGGGCAGGGGAGTTCAGGGTGGTGGTCAGGGGGGTGGGGATGTGGATAGGGGTTGGGGTGGTGAGAGGGCGGGGAACAGGTGGGTTGAATGGGGGCAGGGTTCATGGAGAGGTAGTCAGGAAGGAGGAGGGGGGTTGGATGGGGTGGTGGGGGCAGTTGAGGGCAGGCGTTCCAGGAGCGGTCAGGGGACAGGGAGAAGGGGTGATTGGATGGGGCGGCAGGGGGCAGTCGGGGCGGGGGTTCTGGGGGCGGTCAGGGGACAGGGAGTGGGGGGTAGATGGGGCAGTGGTCCGGGGGGGGGGCGTCAGGGGGCGAGAAGCGGCGGGGGAGGGGGTCTGGCCATGCCTGGCTTTTGGGGAGGCACAGCCTCCCTTAACCAGCCCTCCATACAATTTCCGAAACCCGGTGTGGCCCTCAGGCCAAAAACTTTGCCCGCCCCTGGTTTACAGTCAATGCAGTAGGCTAGCCAGTTACCATCAGCTGACTGCTAATTAATGGAGTGTATTCCATGTCTAACTCTAACCTGTATACTGCTACATTCAAGACTAGTGACAACAGCTGTGTATGTAGAAAGCTGAAG